GGCTTTTCCGGACCAATAGGAACGCAGGCTTTCAAGCCTGCTAGTACAGAACACCAAGTCCTGCTGGAAAATGAAGTCAACATCCCCATAAAGCTCATCTGCGGAAGGAAGCATGAAGTGCTCAAAAATCTGCTGGTAGACGGCTGCATTGACCCTGGACTTAATGAAGCACAGTGGACCAACACCAGCAGATGACATGGCTCCCCAAATCAACACAGACTGTGGAAACTTCACACTGGACTTCAAGCATCTTGCAGTGTGTGCCTCTCCATTCTTCCTCCAGACTCTGGGTCCTTGGTTTCCAAATGAGATGCAAAAGTTGCTCTCATCAGAAAAGAGGACTTTGGACCACTGAGCAACAGACCAGTTCTGTTTTTCTTTAGCCCAGGTAAGACCCTTCTGATGTTGTTTGTTGTTCAAGAGCAGCTTGACAAGAGGAATACAACATTTGAAGCCCATGTCCAGGATCCATCTGTGTGTGGTGGCTCTTGATGCACTGACTCCAGCCTCAGTCCACTCCTTGTGAAAGTCCCCAACACTTTTGAATGGCCTTTTCCTGACAATCCTCTCCAGGCTGCGGTCATCCCTGCTGCTTGTGCACCGTTTTCTTCCACACTTTTCCCTTCCACATAACTTTCTATTAATGTGCTTTGATACAGTACTTTGGGAACATCTAACTTCTTGTGCAATTACCTTGAGGCTTTCCCTCCTTATGGAGGGTGTCAATGATGGTTTTCTGCACAACTGTCAGGTCAGCAGTCTTTCCCATGATTGTGATTCCTGCTGAACCAGACTGAGAGACCATTTAAAGGCTCAGGAACCCTTTGCAGGTGTTATGGCTTAATTAATTGATGAGAGTGGGACACTTTGAGCCTAGCATATTGAACCTTTTCACAATATTCTAATTTTCTGAGATTGTGGATTTGGGGTTTTCATGAACTGTAAGCCATAATCATCTCAATTATGACAAATCAGGGCTTGAACTATCTTGCTTTGCATGTAATGAGTCTATCTCATATATAAGGTTCACCTTTTGAGTTGCATTACTGAAATAAATGAACTTTTGCATGATATTCTAATTTTTTGAGTTTGACCTGTATTGTCTAACAGGAAGTTTCTAAATTTTAATTACGTTGAAAAAAGCTGGTCCAGGTTTGCAGCAACCACATGCTCATCTCCCTGCATTATTTAATAAAACTCAGAATCCTGACTCAGTTAAAATTAAATGCTAGAACTTAAAGCAATACTCAAATAATTGGAAGCAAAATGTGAAGGGTCCTTCATGAAACACAAAAGCTTCCACTGACACCATTGAAATTTAATGAAGACGCTTTTTTCCCTTAGGCTTTTCAATAAAGTATTACAGAGAATGGTAAGACTCCTTTTGAAACTGTTAATTCAAACTGATTCAAAGGGTCAATGCACCCTCACCAAATAAACATGGAAGATGAAGTTTAGGGAATACTATAAGTTGATTTTTACTTATTACGCTTCTGATTTTTTTGTGGGCAAACAATATTATCCAGCCCCCACTTCCACTAATTGCAATAGCTGGTTTCTATGTACCCGAAATGTGACTTACAATGGAAAGTTGCTAGATATACTCTGCTACCAATAGAACAGCCTCAAAACACGCAGACATCCCCTTCCCTGTGCAGTTCTGTACTCTTAAGGCTATCTTACCTTCGAAGTGATAATTTCTTTCAGCCTGCCAGTCATTAGCTTCCATGTTTTCCCAACATGCTTCAGCATCTGCATTTTCTGTCTCCTTGACTGGTGCTGTTCCACATACCCCTCCATGCCCGGCTCCTGGATCACTGATAAAGGAGAGGCCCCATTCATTTTGGAAGATGGCTCCCAGGTGCTGCTGCTGACTACTATCGGTTGGTGGGGGACTGCTCGGGGGTGGCACCAAGACACAGTTGGGGAGGCTATTAGTGGTGCGGACAGCTGAGGCTGGAACATGGCAGGCTTTGCCTGGTTGATCCAAGTTCTCTTTCAGCTTGCTGGCATAAGAGATCTTGGGAATGATCCTGGCACTGCTGCTATCAACTGGGAAAGCAGGAAGGGGCCGAAAGAGTGACCATGTTTCCTTCTTGGATTCCTCAGTGGTTACACTGGAGGCATTAGATATAACAGCGGGATTCTCACTGGCTTTGATAGTGCTGACTCGTTCCAATTTGGGGGAAGTCAACGGGCAGGGCGAGTCAGAATAGCCGTGGCATCGATGCTGCCATTGCCCATTGGAAAGACCCTCTGGAGCACAGTGGTGGCCATTAGTGCTAGGTCCCCATTCCTTGCGGTCTGAGGGGTTGCCTCGATACATTTTGTGGTAGGCAGGACGGAAGGTCCAGCCATGATGGAAATTAGTAGAATAACGGCGGGTATGCTGAGAAGGATCTCGCTCAGACAGCTGGAGATTGCGGATGTTAAGGCTGTTGGAAGGACTCAGGGGAACACTGGGCTCATCAACTATTTCAGAACTTGCAGAGTATCCATTTGATGCCCATGATCCTGAAGGAAAGCAAATTTGAGATATATTGTCACAAACTGCAGAATATAAATACATTTCCCCCCTTTAAAATATTTCACTGAAGGTCTTTTGAGAAAAAAGCCTTTTCTACTTTCCCCTTGTAACCACCTTTCCTATAGACTGCTGCATTACCGTGTTTCTCATATAATAAGGCCGGGTCTTATTTTTTTTTGAGCCGCCCCCCCAAAATGGCTAGGCCATCTTTTCGGGGGTGACTTAATCCCCCCCCTTGCATCTTCGGGCGGGCAGCAACGGCTTGGATGTTGACCTTGGCGTTGGTGGGGCACTTCGTATCGGGGTCAACGCAGGCAGCACTATATCTGGGTGTGCAACAAAAGTACTTCCTAACGGCAAGCCCCCCCACCATTCCCCCCCATTTCACATGTTTTAATATAGGCCTTAATATGAGGGGAAGGGCTTAATTTCATTTCATGCCTATAAAACATGCTGGGACTTCCTATTGGGGGAGGCCGTATTGTTGGAGAAACAGGGTAGCATTAGAAGGTTCAATAGAAGGTGCTAAGGCATTTCAGTCTAGCATCCATCTATTTGTATAAGACATTTTGTTCCGAGACCGTGCAACACCTCTTCAGGGTTATAGTTACTTCTCAAGGTGGAATGGGAGAATGTCCAATGGCTAGAGCTCTCATTCATTAAAAAGCCGCCCCTGAAGCTGCTAAATCTCCCAAGTAATATTACAAGAAAAATAATGGTGTTGCCATTGCAAAATAAGTTGAAGAATTTCTGTGCTATGATGTGGGGTTCAACAAATGTTTAAATCTAAAACAGATTTTACTCAGCACCTGTTTATTTTCCTTGTCATTTTGTTCTCCATGATAAGAAACTTCTAACCTAGTCACCTTTTTTGGATTAACAGAATGCAAATCGGCCAATGAGCTATCTTCACATTCTGGTCAGAAAAGCATCCTATCTCTCAGCCCAAACAAGGACTCAGGATACAATTCTGGAGGAAGTTTGAAAAAAACCATCAAACAGGTTGGTGGGGAAGGAACTTTTCTTCTTCCTTTGCACATGGCACAGAAGCAAGACAGAAAAATGGGAGACATGGAGTGATTCCTCTATCAGTTCACTCGCTTAATGCTTTTCCTAATCAGTAATGCCAACTGATCAAGTTGCTAAACACAAGGCTTTCATGTCAAAGCTCATGACATAAACTCAAACCTTTCAATTCCCTTCAAGAGATAACAATGTCTTCATATCACAATCCTGAACCCCACTCCAGCAAATTAGGAAACCACAAAATAAAACCAAGTGTTCAAAGGAGACTAAACTTATTCTAAACAAACCACTTTTTCCCATTAGTATGTTGGAAGAGAAGGTTGATTTAAATGTTTTATATGCCAAATCAGTACATAAGCTAAAGTAGCAGACAGCTGCACCTTTTTCAATAGACAAGAAAGGATGCATCTACCGTAATATACTAGATTTTTTGGAAGTATTTTCATGGCCACTGCAGTAAAGCCATCTCCAGTCAAAAGATAGAGAGGAATAAAAAAGGGAAAGGGGGAACACCCCTGTTCAGTACAAAATAAGAGGAAGGAGGCTTTGCTTTCCCTGGCATCAAAGATAAGAAACCTTTACAAGTCAGATTTTAAGGCAATGACTCAAACAGAAGACACTAAACCAGAGGTCTCCAAACTTGGCAACTTTAAGACTTGTGGACTTCAACTCCCAGAATTCCTCAGCCATTAAGCTATTAAGAAATTGTGGGAGAA